CTTTGAAGTCGAGAAAGATAATTTAGGGTATGTGACATAAGAATATACTAAGCCGTCATTCAAGAGGAAGCAAAGAATAAAAGTTTGAAAAATGTTTGGCCTGATAATGTGATAGAAAAGGAAAACACATTTTCTGGGGAGAAATTCAAGCTCATTGCAGAAATTTGCATAAGTAACAAGAAGCCAAATGTTAATCACCAAGACAATGGGGAAAAAGTCTCCAGGGAATGTCACAGACCTTCACAGCATTCCCTCCCTGGAGGCCTAGAAGGGAAAAATCATTCTGTGTGCTCGGCCCAGGGTTTCCCTGCTCTGTGCAACATCAGGACATGGTGTCATGCATCCAGCTGCTTCAGCTCCAACCATGGCTAAAGGGGCCAAGATATAGCTCAGGCCATTGCTTCAGAGGTGTGAGTCCCAAGCCTTGGTGGCTTCCATGTTGTTTTGAGCACGTGGGTGCCAAAAAGTCAAGAACTGAGGTTAGATTTCATAGGATGTGTGGAAATGCCTGAATGTCCAGGCAGAGGTTTGTTGCAGGGGTGGAGCCTTTATGGAGAACCTCTGCTAGGGCAGCAAGGAAGGGAAATGTGGGGCTGGAGCCCCCACACGGAGTCCCTACTGGGGCACTGCCTAATGGGGCTGTGAGAAGAGAGTTACCATCCTTCAGAACCCAGAATGGTAGTTGCACTGAGAGCCTGAACCATGTGCCTGGAAAAGATGCAGACATTCAACGTCAGACTGTGAAAGCAGCTGGGAGGGGGGCTGCACTCTGTAGAGCCATGGGGCAGAGCTTCCTGAGGCCATGGGAGCCCATCTCTTGCATTAGCATGACCTGCAAGTGAGACATGGAGTCAAAGGAGATCATTTTGGAACTTTAAGGTTTAATCACTGCCCTACTGGATTTCAAGCTTGCATGGGGCCTCTAGCCCCGTGTTTTGGCCAACTCCTCCCACTTGGAATGGTTTTATTTACCCAATGCCCATACGCCCATTGTATCTTGAAAGGAACTAACTTGTGTTTGATTTTACAGGTACATAGGTAGAAGAGACTTGCCTTGTCTCAGATGAGACTTTGGACTTGGACTTTTGGGTTCATGATGAAATGAGTTAAGACTTTGGGGAACCATTGGGAAAGCATGATTGTGTTTTAAGATATGAGGACATGAGAGTTGGGGCGGGCCGGGGTGGAGTGATATGGTTTGGTTCTTTGTTCCCACCCAAATCTCATCTTGAATTGTAATAATCCCCAGATGTCAAGGGTGGGACCAGATGGAGGTAATTGGAACATGGAGGTGGTTTCCCCCATGCTGTTCTCAAGAGAGTGAGTGAGTTCTCATGACATCTGATGCTTTTTAAGTGTCTGCCATTTTCCCATGCTTGTACTCATTCTCTTTTCTGCCGCCCTGTGAAGAGGCACCTTCTGCTATGATTATAAATTTCTGAGGCTTCCCTAGCCATGCAGTACCGTGAGTCCATTAAACCTCTCTTCTTTATAAAAGACTCAGTCTTGGGTATTTCTTCATAGCAGAATGAGAATGGACTAATACAGAGGGGAACTGAGAAGATGTTCTTAAATCCAAGTTCACCAGGGCAGTAGGAAAAGTTAGGGATGAGGATTTTATCTGCTGACTTATGGAAGCAAATTCTCAACATTACACATGGAAGATCTGGTATCATTTTGAAAAAAAAAACTGATCTACTTGGCTTTATTACATGAAAACTGTACAAGCACAGGAATAAGGAACAAGAAAGGAAAGAAAGGCAGATTTATGACCCTCTACATATAGAAAACGTAGACCTGCCTTTCGTTCAATGGCCTACCCGTTGTGTGAGTAAAGTCAATACCAATAATGAAATGTAGACTGAAGGGCTAAATCAGTTCAATAAAATGCAATAGAAAGACTAGAGGACTGAGTAAATTTGGAAAGGCTAGTGCCTGCATGATTAGTATTTGGACAACAGGTAATTACCAAAATCAATGTCTGTGTATGAAAACACGACAGGCAGCCATCTGTCACAAAGGGAGAAGCAATTACTAATAGCTTGGTCTTGGAGTTAGGATGAGAGAACAAAATATATCTGTGTACAATCCTTGTTAGAGTTTGTGTGTGTGTGTGTGTGTGTGTGTGTGTGTGTGCGTATGTACACTGAATGGGAGAAAGAAAGGGAAACTCTGGGAGCTCACTCTGTGTTTTATTTAAGCCTTTTGCACTTCCCTTGTTCCTTTGGCTAACACTTGCTAACTTCAATCTCATTTTGCCAACTCAGGATCAGGGTGTGCACTCCGTCACACACCACCCTTCCCTTCCTTCTCATCCCAGCCTCCCAGGCCTCCTGGGAACATTGTCATGGGCCCTAACAGTGTTTGCAGCCTTTAGAAGGTAGCACGCAGGCTGCCATTGATAATGTGAACAGCTGCTAGGAGTGCCAGTTTGTGGGGGCCACCCCAAACAGTGAGATGTGATACAGGCAAACTTGAGGGCGCCCATAGCAAAATACCAAAAATAAACAGAAGCACGCATATATACACACACACACAGAGAAACAGGCACACACACAGACACAGACACATGTACACAAAGAGACACATGTATACACAGTGACACACAGAAATAAACATAAAATAAAACAGTAACTTTAGTGTCTTAACTGTTCCTGGCCAAAAAGAAGGTGGACGAATGCACATTTCACCACTAAGCAGTTTTCATTCTTTAAGTCATTTAATTCTTACAAAGACTCTATAGAGAAGGTATCGGCATCTTCATTTTAAACATTAGAAAAGAGGCCCCAGAGGATAATCAGGTAGTTCAAGGTGACTGAGGTGGTAAGCAGAGAAGCCAGCCTGGGAAGCTCATCCATCCGCCATGACCCATGTGCTGGTTGCCCCTTCATTGCAAGGCCTGTGTTCACCACAATGCACTAGGGGTCATTCTGATGTAGCCGCGAACAAGTCTACAGCTGCTGTCACTACAGCTTCTGTTCAGGTGTATCAGTGCCTATCGCCACTGATAGGCCCTAAGGCCGGCCCATGGATCACATTGACAGAGGCAGACCATGAGCTAAGACTTCCCTGGGCAACGAAGCCTGCACTACCTGGCCGGGTGACTCCTGTAATAGGGTCTGACTCCATCTCTTGATGTTTGACTTCTGATAGCTTTGAAGCCTTACCCTTGCCCCCTCTGCCCCACAGCTGGGCAACCTGATAAAACTCAGAGCTTATTGTTTGGTACCCACAGGAGTTTCCAACCATACAAGGCCCAATCTTCATGTGAGAACCCACTCCTACAACCGTAATAGCTCCATGCCAGTTTCCTTTCCAAAAGCTTTCAGAAGCAAATTTGGGACCTGTCTGGGAGCCACCGTGCTTGACCCAGAAGGCCTCACCGTGTGAGTGACACCTTTTCAGGCTTTCCTGGTGTGTAAGTGATGCCAGCAACCTTGGCATCAGAACAACCAAATTTTGGGTGGGAGTCCATCCCACTTCGGTGGGGCACAACATTCTTGAAGCATTCATTCTAACAGTGAAATGAAATACTTTCATGACCTTTGGAGAAACCCTCAAAGTTATAGTCTCCAAAAAAGAAAAAGTTATGGTCTTCAAAAAAAGATAACATATGATGATGGTATGTGACCCCCTGGTCAGGAATCTGTCCTCCATGTTTCATGGCCATTTTTTTCCCTATTACAAATAGAGAATGACTCGGTTAACAACTGTTTGGGACAGGAGTCACATAACTTTAATGAGTTTTTAGATCTTTTTAACAGTTGGCATTTTTTCACATTTAAAATTTTTTATAGATGGACAATATTTCTCTATAACTAAACTTTGGCACTGCTGACATTTGGGGCTGGGTGATTCTCTTTGAGGGGCTGCCCTGCACTTTCTGGGATGTTTTGCAGCATCCCCAATTTCTACTAGTGATACCCACAGCCACCTCCAGCTGTGACAACCAAAGATGTCTCTAGATATCAAATGTACCTTGGGACAAAATCACACCTGGTTGAGAACCACTGTTCTGTATTCATTCCACAAAGAATCAGGACTTTCTTGATAAGACTGAGCATGGACCATGTTCTTTGCAGGCCCAGGGGAAGAGAGGTGGAAAAAAACAAAAAGCCATGAAGCTATGTATATCCCAATGCAAGCAAGCAAAATCTATAATAAATTGCAATTACATCTTCAAATCTCTCCACTCTTACACTAATTTAGCCTCATCCCCAAAATTGCTTACATGCCATGAAGATGACTCATTATAGTTCATAAATCTTTTTTAAAAAATTGATAACTCAGTTTCTTACATGCAAATGCTTGGCCCTTGTCTAAAAAAGTCAGATTTTGCTACAGCAACCACTGTGATTTTTCAAAAATACCACACAGCAAAACATATGAATTTTGTGTATTCCAAAAACACAGAGCATGTTAACAGCTGTTTACGTGTTGGACATGGACCATAGTCTCCTTAATGGAACACATATCCACATTTAATCCACTACTCCTTTGTAAATAGTGCCAAACACTTGGTTGTAACACAAAGCCAATTTAGTGCCTACAGTCCTTATCCTATCAATGAGTTCTGCAGGAAGGATAGGTCATAGCTTATACTGACTGCAATAATTGTACTGTGATTTGAGAAGAGAACAAATGATTCCTAGCATATCTTTAGGATTTAGGGGCAGAAGAAACTCCCAAAGACAGAATCCGGAAGAGAAAGACAAAAAGACAAATCATATTCCAAGGATGGCATCTGACAATCCAGCCTCTATTGATAACTAGCATACACCACTGGCCCTCTGTTCTTGGTATTCAAATACTAAAAAAGGAAGAATGCATAAACAGGCATGCTAATTAATTAGATGAAACGTTATGTCTTAGTCATACATATAGATCTAAATTTTAAAAGTGTAACTTCAGTTCTCCTAGTTCTTTTCCCTGTCAACATTAAAAAGATCTAAGTGCTTATGATCTGGCACCATTGATTTCAGAATCCAAGGAGCACTTGCCTCGGCTTTAATTTTGTTGTCTCCAAAGCAGAGGTGTTGCAAGTAGGCTGCCGCATTAGACTGGACGGAGGGAAACTGGTGTTGCAACATCTGAATCACTTCCGGCAGTTCCGGGTCTCTCCATCCAAATTCTCTGAACAAAAGAAGGTGGGAGAACATGAGAGAGAAATCCTACCACACCGTTAACATGGTTAGCTCATGTATGAAATTTCTTAAGAGTTTATAAGAAAACATTTCACAAATGACTGTTCTGGTTTTCTTACACACAGATCCACGTAAGAGGATTTGGAAGAGATTTCCTTGAGTGAATAGATTTCAAGTGCATACATGTGTACACTACACATATTGATTATATAGATTACATATACAGATCAATCTATCAACTGAAGTTACATGTTAATAAAGATTATGAAAAAATAACCTAATATAGCATATGATTTTAATATATACATTTCCATTTGGGCTTAAGTGAATTATTCCTTTATTTATTTATAACTTTTTTTTTAGAGACAGGGTCTTACTGTGTCACCCAGGCTGGAGTGCAGTGGTGTAATTATAGCTCACTGCAGCCTGAAACTCCTGGGCTCAAGTGATCCTCCCACTTCAGCCTCCCAAATAGCTGGGATTACAGGCGTGTGTCACCACGACCATCTTAAATGGATCATATATAGAGGTCATATCTATTTTAGCATATTGTTTCAACAGTCTGATTCAGGTATAGCATTTAGAGAAATTATCAGACAAGAGAAAACAGAATTGGATGAGTCCAATCCAAAACGTTGTGATAGCATCCAATGTTGATATTACTGTTTTTAGCACTGTTGTTATTTTCATAATCTCTTCTTTAAAAATAGACAGATGCCCTACATGATTCTCTGGGAATAAAAGTATCATAACATGATGACTTTATAAAAGGAAATTATTTATTTAAAAAGTTAGGCTTATTTGCAAAATGTTAATACATTTCATGCACTGCACATATTTTTTTTCCCCTGTCTCCTCCTTTTTACATCTGAGCTACTCTAAGAAGCTGGTTGTCATCTTAAGCAATATGCTCTAAAATATTTAAGTCCATTTTAAAACAGTATCTTGATTGTACTGTCATACAAAGAAATGTTATTTTATTAAATCTCTGCTCAGCCGGTTAGACATGCTGCTAACAGGACCAACTGTATGAATTCTATCCCTGCAGCCGGGAACCAATTTTTAACAGAGAAATAAAATAGGAACTGCAAGACCACAGGTAAAAACTTGACCCCACAAGCCACCAAAGGGCACTATTTATCCAAAGGATAGGCAGGAAGAGGAATGAGCCAGTTTTGCAGCCACCTCTATTCCTCATGAAACAACTCAAAAGCATAGATCCTGTTGATGCCAGGTCGATGCTGTCATCTGGGAAGAGGAGACATGAAAAATGGGACAGAGAAGGAACAGACAAAGGTTAAAAGTGTCCTCAGAGATTCTAACCTCTTCTCTTTATCTTTCCTTTATCACAACTGGTAGAGATTGTCAAGCAAACCTTGAAACATGTTGGTGTTTCCTTTATAGCAAGTGAATACAATATGAAATAGAATACCTCTTGAAGTGGCTTAGTTTTTATTGGAAGGATAAGGCGTTCTATTTAATGTGCATTATGCATTTTATAAATTTACATACAATCAGACAGCTCTCTCTCTCTATATAAATATATATGCATACTCAGAAAGACATACAGTGTAATAATATATTTGCAAAGAAACCTACTTAAGTGATTGCTGATAACGAACGAACTATTCAATCCTTCTTGGCTAAGTGATCACAGTAGCAAACAATCATAGAATTAAAAATGTAAAGCCTGTTTTTCTTTTAAAGTTAATTTCCTTTTGTTTCATTATTCTAAACCATGCCTGCAACGCTAAGATAGCACAGTCCTTTTAATAAGAGTAGCCTTTTAGAATTATATTCTTTAGGCAAATTGAACCAAAATCTACTAAATACCTGTAAATTAAAATTAGAAGTGTAGAGACAGCGGATGGGTAAGATGAATTCAGGTAAGCCTATGCTTTCTGAAAGCAATTAGTAAAGAATTCCTTTCCATCTATTTTATTAACTAGTCAGTAATTGCTCTATTAGGTGATGGCTTACAAGGCATATGCCAGATGCATCTTTTGAGCAAGAACTCTAGGAACAGACTTAGGGGCTCTTGGCACACATGCATACACCTGTGCACACGCACTTGCACACACACTGCCCAAACAGACAGGAAGGATGAACATTCCAAAGAGTCATGAGTGCAGAAGGGATCTACGTCCCTCACACTAGGTCAAAGGAAAGGCTGTTGCCAGCTTTGCCCTGTCCCCAACCCCCAAACCTCTGGAATCCCAAGCATCCCTTCCATTCCCACTTCTGCTCTCTCAGACCTTGTACCTCACCTTCACTCTGCTGACCTGCAAATTTCCTCCCACCTCTTAAACACCACTCTTCCCACTTGAGGCATTTAAACACACAGACATGCTCACGTGATCATGCCACTTTAGCTCCACACCCCTCAGTGGCTCCCACTGTCCTTGAGAGTTTAAGATACTCCCATGACCTTGGAGGCCTTGCTGGGCTTGCCCACTCCTGCCTCGCAGGCTCCTGCCTGGCCCTGGCCTGCCCCTGTTCTTGTCCTCCTGTCACCTGGCCTGCTTGGCCCAGTGGCTTCTCACTCAAACTCGGGGCCTTAGGCTCTTTATGACTTCCTCGGGGAATCCCTCCCCAACTCGTATCCACGCGGTGCCCAGTGGAGGATGACACAGTCATGCTGTGGACATGAGGTGACCATCTCTTGCTTTACTCTGCTAGGCTCTGAGGCCAGGGCCGCGACTCTCTTGGTCATCTTTGTCAGCTGGCTCCTACAGGTCTCCCTGACACCAAACGGAGTCCACATAAATGTGTTTTGAAAGAATGAAGGTGCGAAGGAGTGAAGAAAGGGTTTGGACTGGGACAGTGTTCCCACAGTTCTACTGGTGACTCTCAGAAGAGCAAGAGTCATTTCTAGAGTAACCACCCAACACACACACACACACACACACACACACACACACAGCACAGCACACACACCCCCAACACACACACACACATACAACACACACCCAGTACACATACACACACCAAATTCACACACACTCCTAACACACACATCCCCAACACACATCCCTAACACACATACCCAACACATACCTCCAACATGCACATACCCAACACACACACATACACACAACACACATACCAAATACACATACACACACCCAACACACACACCCAACACACACTTATCCAACACACACACTCAACATACACACCCCCAACACATGCACACACACAAAATACACACACCCAACACACAGATACACACATACCCAAAACGCTCATACACACCCCATATACACTCAACACCCAACACACACAGACACACAAGAGGAGACATTCTCCATGCTGCTAACCTGAGCAGCCTTCTCTGTGTATCTATTACGTTTCCCAACTCCATGGCTTAGATGCTCCGGTGGCTTTCCACTCTGCTTAGACAACCACCTATGAGGATGATGTTAGGGTACAACATTTATGGGGCAACTTGGGGGCACAGTGGAAGCAGATGAAGGAGAAAAAGCCCAGATCACAAAGCCAGACAAGATTGGAGGGTGAATGTAATTTAGTGTTCAAATCCCCAGGCCTTAAACCAGCTTCTCAGAAATTGTGCTGGAGTTGATTGTCTCCAGGCAGTTGACTTCTGGTTTATTCTAATTGGCGGTCCCTTGGGACTCAGTCACTGCAGCAGTTGCCCTCTAAGAAAAGACTAATCTTTTCAAGTGTTCTCTTCAATTTCACAAAATAGATGCTAAAAGAGCACCCTCCAGCAGAGAGTCTGGGGGAATGATTTATCTCCAAGGCTCTTCTTCTATAACAGTTTTGTTTCGCTTAGATGAGATTCAGTTTGGTTTTCGTTTTGCTGATCATGGAGATATACCCAAGAGAAATAGTGGCAGGCCTGGAGAAAATAGTCTGTTCAAACCATTTTGGCCAGAATTCAGTGTCTAGTATGGTTTCTTCACATAAGGTCTTAATCCTTAAGGACAAAGAAAATCTTGCAAGATGAAAGAATTCTGGAACAAACAAATACCAGAGGAGGGAACAGCACCTGCAAAGGTGTGGTGTCACAGGAGGGGTTATTTGGGAAAGGTGAGCCACTGTGAGGCACGGCTGTGAATGGGATGGGGGCCCCCGGTGGGGGGGCTGCTTGGCAACAGTGGGAGTTGGAACAGGGGATGGAATACAAGTTTGAGATGAGATCATGAAAGACCTTTCATTCAAATACAAAAAAATCTGGACCTGGTCTGTGGATAGTATTGTGAAAAAGAAAGGGAATAAGATTCGTTCAGAATTACACAACAGTCAGAATAATCATCTCCAGTAACAACGTTAGCACATACTAAAAGTCAGTGGCCAAGGTTCTCTGGTCACACTCTTTAATTATCTAAACCTTAAGGAACACTGTGTGGCTTATTTTCATTTTACAGAAGAGGCAACATAAGGTGTTACTGAACTGAAGAGTTGGAGCTGCAATAAAATGCTAGTTGTCGCCTCTTGAATCCATAAATGTAGCTATAAAACTACGTTGCCTGCTGTAATCATTCTCTTGAAATAATGTCTAAAACGGTGACTTTTTTAAGAAGTAATAATGTCTGCAACAGTGTCCCTCTGAGGACATTTGGCAATGCCTGAAGACAGTTTTGGTTGTCACCCCCTGGAAGGCGCCGCTGGCATCCAGTGAACAGAGGCCAGGGAAGCAGCCAACCTTATGCAGTGCACAGGACAGTCCCCACAACAAAGAAGAATTATCGGTCCCCAAATGCCACCAGAGCCTGAGTTGAGAAGCTCTGGTCTCAACATGCACTGTTTGATCAGTTTTGTTGAGCAAGCATGTTGTAAATCTTTCCCTCCTTGACTGTTGTACTAGAATCAGGATTTGGCATCAGAATAACTGTCAAGGAGTTCAGAATGTGAACATCTGGGCTCTCTTCCTTTTATCCCACAAATACAGGACAGTCCTTTAGACCTTGCTGGCCTTGGTTTTCACGGATCAAAATATAAAGAATAATACTACCTATTTTACAG